ATTCCTCATTCTCTAGTCTAGTGGGTCCCCGCATCCTCTCTGGAGGGAGCAGGGGGGAGCAGCGGCTGCTGTGGAGGCACTTGTGCGTGCTTGTTCACAACCGCGCCCGCAGTCCATAGACAGTCCACACCCCTCCTCTCCGCCCCACAGGTTGATTAACGGCAAAAGGAGCCAATAACTCCTCAATCTCCTACCCCCGCAACCAGAAACTTCGGGATAGACGATCGCTGCAGGGACCAGCAGTGGCGAATGAAATGTATCTCGAGTGAAATGTATCATTTCTGATCGTCTAGGAAAGATCAAAGACCTTTAGTGAGATCTGATTCTGACATGCTGTCAGGATCAGTCTCTAAAGTTATTATTAGCTGTTCCTAAGCTTGGAGCAGCCTGATAATAACTAAAAATTTTAAAAAGTTAATTTATTAAGCAGTCATAGTGATTGCTTGATATAAACTGATGTTATGTAAATATATGTTATATAAATGTAAAAAGTGTGTCAGTCATTTAGGAACAGAAACTAAAAACTAGCTCAGTCATGAAGGGGTTAAGCTTGAAAAATAGAATCTGATTGAACGTATTGGGCAGCACAGTGTAAGACAATTTGCTTGTAGTTCAGAGATATATATCATGACTTTGTTAGGTAAACTATGGTAGAGAGAATGGCTAACTGAGCTCTGTTATTTCAAAGATGGGCAAAAGTCAGTTTTGATCATTTTGTTTTTTTGGGGGTTTTTTTCTTCTCAATTTAAGGCCTGAAACGATGCGCAAGGAAAGAGGTGGTACCTCTGGACTCTTAAAATGTGGCAAAAGTACAACATACGAGGGAGGCCTAAGAGAACCTGCAATAATGTACTGGGAAGGAACAATAAAACCAGGTAACTAAATGAACAATACTTCTAAGAGAATATTCATAGCACCGCCATCGAGGTAAGATATGACTAACGGCCCCTTTGTTGGATTGAGATAGATTCATGGACCGTTATACTTTAATACCACAAGTCCACCTTCATCTACAATACAGAGAATTGTTAAGTGGCATCACCTTTTAAAAAAAAATTAATGTGATATAGTAATTTTGGTCATTTAAACAATCTTCACAAGAATGATATGTCTCCTGCTACTCGTGTGTTAGTTGTTATGTATTGTCTAGTGGATGGTATACATTTGCAGGCTTGTTAAAGTGTTCAATTACAAACGGGTGAGGAAAGCAGTCCTATAGATGCATTGTTGGGATGTATACTGTGCATTCAGTTACTGTATATCGGCAAGGAAGCGTTTTACTTTCACAGGAAGCACAACTGACACTTTGTAGTCAGTACAGAAAAAAAGGTAACTAGACCGATAATGGTACACTTTAGTCAGAGTTGGAAAATTAACCTTTTAAATGCATACAGGGAACATAGCCTCATACTCTGTCTCACCACAGTCTGCACAAGTGTTTTTGCCAAATATGTATAGGTGTTGAAATTTGTGGTGGAACATGTAGTGCCTATATATTCACGACAATACAGCCACGCCAGTTTTTAGAAGCTGGAAGACCGCCTCCTGTAGTTATTAAGCTAATGTAAATGGCAATTTACACCATTGTATAAGTACAGCAAAGCTGTGTGTACAGATCTGTTACAGATACATGGGCAAAGGTGAAGAAGGATTTTCAAGACTTTCCCAGGATAAGCCCATTAAAGAATGATGGTTAATGGAGTTTTAAGCTAGTTTCAATGAAAAAAAAATATTCTTTTACTGATGAAGAGATGCATGAGCTTGGCCCAGGGAGTGTAGCATAGAACGCATCTGTAAATGAATTGAAGAATGCATGTGATAAGTCAAGATCTGTCTTGGCGTTGATCCAGAACTTGCTATTTTGGTGTGAGGGGCACCCTGGGTAATCATATTAAGTGATATTTGGCACTGCAGCTATGTTTCAAAGACCTGCATATTTGAAACCTACATAATTGCTTGTTTGCTTATCCCTGTCTGTACCAAAGGGCATTGCCTTCAGTCTTATTTATTGATTCCCTGTTTGTTGTAAACTCTTGCAGGTAGGGCTCTTCTGTCTTTTCTTTTATCTCATGTTACTTTGTTATTCTGTGTATGTTTATTGCCCTATATTGTAATGTTTTGCTGAATATTTTGGTTGTATATGAATAAAAGTAATAATAATTATCCTTGGCACAGGCAGTAAGACAATAAATTGGAGGCAAACATCATGTGAACAAAAACAGGACGTGGCCTCATGCATTGTTACTTTACAATCATTTAACCCTAGCTGTCCCGGCAAGATGTAAATAGTTTTAGTTTACCAATAATCAAAATGTGAAGTAAATACATATTGGTACAGATCTATGTTAAGAAATGTACCTTTATGAACACTAAAGCTGACCATACACCTATAGATTATGTGCAGATTTTTTGTGGTCAGATGGAAAAGGTGCAACAGATTCCTCCTTCTACACTAAACTGTGTGGATGGAGAGTCTACCACTGGGTCAAGCTTCAGTATCTTGCTAGTCAGCCCCGCTGGCTCTCAAAACACCTGAACAATCTGATTGGATGCGGGTATTGTTCAGGTACTTTGACAGCCAGCGGGGCCGACTAGCAAGATACTGAAGATTGGCCCAGCGGGAAATTTTTCCATCCACACAGTTTAGCGCAGATGGAGGAATCCGTTGCATTTTTTTCCATCTGACAATAGGCTGATAGAAGAAAATCTATAGGTGTATGGTCAGCTTTACTGTTGTGGTACATCACTAGTTTGTGATCCTGTAAAATGTAGTCTTATAATCTGTATATTCTAATTATGCAGTGCATTGTATAACTACTTGCTTCCTGTTGACCAATTGCAGGAGTTACCTCTGAGCTGGCCAGCATACTGGACATTTTGCCCACAGTAGCAGCCTTGACAGGAGGCAGTCTTCCCAACGCTACATTGGATGGATATGATCTGAGTAAACTGCTCCTTAAGTCTGAGAAAGTAAGAAATTACAAATGCAGGAAAAACGACTAGAAAGCGTTTATTTCGGTTGATGAGTACCATCATAATATAATTTGCCAATATTTTCCACCCCTGTGTCTAATGCAGATCAGTATAAAGATATGAGATGCTAGATGCCTGGTAGTCTTGTTTTATTCACCACAGGTTAAACCATATGAAAAGTGCCAGTAAGATGTGTTCTTATTATGGTGAAGAAATAGCCTCATATCAGCCGTGTCTCATCTATGCAAAACTGCAGTGAAACAAACAAAAATTCTGTATGGTTTTTTAGTTTACCCTCACAGGTTTCAGGATTGCCAGCTGTTGTAAGTCTGTTTCAATCGTAGATCCCTTATTATTTTAGGTGTCCACACTTAAATCTGCTGATTTTAGACTTAGATGTGCAATAATCTTGGGCTGCCACAGTGTGTGATCACAAATAAGTTGGTGTTGAAGTTGTACAGTCCTGTCAACATTTTTTCCAGGACAGACAGTCATTCTAATACATTTTAATAAAACTATTGAAACTTGTGCGGCTACTTTAACTTGCAAGCTCCTTTTTTATATTGGTACTAAGCTTTGTACTGGGGTCACATAGGGCAATTATTACTTTGTAACAATTATCAGTCCTGGAAATTTGCTTTTGGTTCATATGTATCTGAATGTTTTTTAAAAGTGAAAAGATAAAATTACTTGTTAAAATGTAAATATAAGTTGATAAAATGTTTAAAATGCATCAGGAAATACTAACCGTGTTATTCACAAAAAGCTGAAGAGTTTGGGGAAGGTAGGCGAAGGGAGCAATTTAGGGCAACATAGCTGAATTGGAAAGTGAGCTGAATTGGAGAATTTTTCCAAATCCGCTATTTTGTCCTAGATTGTTAACTTCTCTTCCTGCCTTCTCCAAACTTCACCCTTTAGTGAATAACCATTAAAGTGTTTGAATAAAATATATACATAAAAAAGGCAGAGGTAGGAGTAGTCCTATATGTACAAATCAACTACAACTAACGCATCCAGTTTAATCAGGATGGGAGTGGGAGCTAAAGAAAAATCTAAACTAAGGAAAATCTAACTAGAGACGGCGCAAAAGTCCTCCATGGTGCAGTAAGGTATAGTGAACTTTATTGAAATCTCAATTGCACTCATAAAAGAAAAATGGCCTAGGGACAGCAAAAAATTTACATCCTGCACTGATGGAAATGCAACAAACCTCCCGGCAGTGCCTTATGCATTGACCAGAGGGAACAGACAATCGGCAGAAACAAAGGACATGAAGCGGAGAGGGATTGGGAGCAAGTCCACAGGCACGTTGCCCATTCAGGGGACATTAGCATCACCTGAATGGGCATATATGAATGTCTTTTGAGGGATAGAAAATAGAAGTCCCCCTTCATCAGCCTCCACCTTTTTTTTTGCTATCCCCTGAAACGTGTTTGGACCTACTGACATCACCTGGATGAGTAAAGCTTGATGATATGCCTGTGGACATACCCTTGGTCTCTCACCGCTTCAGAGTCTTTTTTCTCTGGCAGTCTGTTTGTTTGACTGTGCCCAGGGAATGAAAAGGAGACTGGAAGGCTTCCTTTTTCATCCATGCATGCTGTTAATGCTTTATTGCTGCCCCAGGGCATTTTTCTCTTGTAAGTGCAATTGCGTTTATTTCAATAAAGTTCATTATAACGTAACTACACTATGTGCTTTTGCTTGTTATGTTTTTCTTTAGTTTATTTAAAGGGTTTTGCCTATCATGCTTAGAGTTTAATTCACATGTGACTATTTTTTCTCTCTCCTTAAACTTTAGCCTTTCTAGTAAGATTTTGTCAGTAAGACACATATCACACTGGCAATCCTTTCATTGGTGACAACTCACCAATGACAGGATTGAGGGCAGAAAAATACCCGCCAATTTATACAGTGACACACTCTTGCTGGCCAGATGAGCGAGGCAATTTTACAACATATTCGTCCACGAAGGAGCGCACCTCTCATCAAGGTGCAGAAGAAGTGAAGCTGTTCAAAGAGAAGTGATTTTTCTACCCCTTTTAGTGAACGTGTTGCCACAATGACAAGCTTGCAACTGTAAAATGGACCTTAAGTTACTTCCATTTTCACCTTTGTCTTTGCCAGCCAAAATGTTCAGATGCAGCGAATGCAACGGTACAAATTGGGTGTTTGCATGTTAAAGACCGAAAGAAAGTATGTTGGCGAACTGGAAAAGCACCCAAATTTGAAAGAAGAATCAAACCTTTCGATCAGAGATTGTATTGTAGTTCTCTGATTATACATTTAAAGTGGACTTTAGAATGCTTCTCAGAATTATCACTCCTTCTAATGATAATGGTGAATTATTTTACCCACTGTGTGGCTAAGAAAATCAGAATGAATGCAAAGAAAAGAAAGGTAGAGATTGTGAAAAGATAAATGCACACAAAGAACAAGAGAGGAGAAAAGGTTACCTTATGTGGTATCCAAGAAATCTAGAGGAACAGTTTACAAAGGTAAACATCCAGTTGGAATCCTCTGTCCTGCTGACACTGTTCATATAATATATTGCACATACAACCGTGTAATAAATAAATACTTATCTCCCTGTTGGACTTCTGTCCCATAATTAAAGGAGAACTTTGAGGTGAGTGCTTTCCACTCACCTCATAGTTCTAGCCGACCTGTGACAATGAGACTGTCACAGGTCGGCTTAATAGATCGGAAAGTGAGCAAACACTTGCCAGCGTTCGCTCACTTCTTGATCCTGTCACGGCCGTCTGCCGTGACAGGGGAGGGGCTGGATTCCCCCCTCCCCGCTACGATCCTCCAGCGCTGACTGGCGGAACGGACAGGGGAGGTGGCGGGTACAGCTGGCACTGCCTATAGATAGGCAGAGCCAGCTATCACTGACGCAGCAGGGCGGATCCAGACATAATTGTCGGGATCCACTTCAGCTGCGGCGTCTTAGTCTATCGCGGGTTGTAGCTCGCGGTATACTGAGCTTAGTGTGACGGGAGGACGCTAGTTTGTGTCCTCCCGTTACCCTAAGGAGAACTATGGGGAAAAGCCCTAACCCAATAGTTCTCCTTTTAAGGGATTAAACGTGCCTACTGTTCTGACTTTGCTTGTACAGTAGAGATGTTTTCTGAAAGATGAAGGTATGTTTAGAGGCACAGCTTGCCCAGAGGCCTACAGTATTGTCATGGACTAGCTACAATTACGTTTTACAGAGTGGCATTTGCTTGTTTTGCAGCTGTGTTTTAGATAAGGAAACTTCTGTATCTAAAGGTGGTATTTTAGTAAAAGGTAAAGTCTGGTGGGCTCAGGTGTCCCTTGCCTTCTTTTATGCATTGGATATTTCAACAGTGTTAGTCAGTAGTCTCTGACTCTGTTCCTGTCCACCTTGGTGTTTTTGGGGTGTTCCTGGCCACCTTTGCATGTCCAGCACCTACTCTCCATAACCTAGACTTAAAAAAAACTTCAACAGGGAGAGTGGGAGCTGCTCATAATGTTTACAGCAGGTGCAAGTCAAGTGCAGAGAGACTTTTATGATGGAAAAGGTGGTATTTCCAATGCTTTGGAAGCTTGAGGTAGCATGGTCTAGCTTACTGATCTGGAAATTAACTATGGCAGAGAGTATACTTCCATCTTTGTTGTGTCCCTCTTCCATGTGTAGTCCGCAATAGCTAAGAGCTTCTACTACAACTAAGTATTAGACTTGATGCGATGTGTTAATCGCACTGCAAGAATGACCCAGTATGGAAATATTTCTGCAGTTGGCTGTCAGTACTGATCATGGTATTTTACTTTTCATAATTACTTTCTTTAGTCCTTCTAGTACAAAAACACTTGTCATAAATGTTTTTTGAGCAGTAATAATGGGCATGGCCTACTTATATAATCTTTCTTTTTCCTGTGCAACAATGTCCCTGGACAACAATGTCCCTGGACAACAATGTCCCTATCTCAGTGTACTTATGCTAGATTTTTTTTCTTGAGAAATAGTGCAGCACCAAAAAATGTAAGCAATACAATCTAAATAAGTATCCAATCGACGTGAAAACCAGCAATGCAAAAATTGATCCAAACATTGAAATCTTAATACCAACCTAATATGTAGAGATTGTGTATCAAACATTAATATGGCACTTCCAATTCAGTGAAATCCAAAAAAATGAGTGAACTCAAACCGAGCAACAGTATTATGTGTCCAATTATCAAGATCCAGTGTCCAAAGGAGTGAAACCTAAATACTCTGAAGGTGTAATACGTGCAAAATCTAGTGCAGTTCTTCTGTAGTACGATCCTTAATTGGTCATCCATACAATAGTGAGTGACATCAGTATGTGAAAATGTTTCCATTCCATATTACACAGACACTCAGGAGGAATAGCACTTACCTTATTGCACAGAACAGGAAGTGATATTTAGCATATTGTGATCGTACTAATATATTGGGATGGCGCCAGCATAATTCAGCTGCCCTAGTTCTTTCAATTTGTACAAATGGAACTGCCGAAAAGACCTACATGTAGCATGTGCACACCCATACTGGTAACATCTATAAATTTAGAAAAAATGTGATGTGTTTTCTTCCCCTCCCCCCCC